TGCTGGGGTACGAGGCCCAGCTGGAGAGCAGGGTTAGGTGGGAATTCTGTAGGTTTAATGATGGCCCTTGTTCAACTGGATGGATGGAGATAAATGAGTTATGTGTAACAGCCTAAAATGGGAAGATAGACCTAAATGAGAACATGTGTAGTTTAGTAAGAACCCTAAATTATTTACATTATAATTTGTTACATTATAAACTGACTAATGGTGACGGTATGCATCTCCAAATGATCTACATGAATTGATCAGGTTAGCATGAGTCCCAAAAACAGAAAAGAGATGTGTATTTAAAACTTCAAAACTTTAATTCCAGTTCTGCTAATAGTCAGATAAGACAGATAAGCAGATGTTTTGGTTTAAAGCAGTTTATCATATGAAAATACGGCTATTAATAACTCACTATTACTGAGTGTAAGCTGTGCAGAATCATGTACAGTGAGTAATCTGCTTAAGTGTGATGCCTGATGAATCATTAAAGTTCAGTGATACTGACAGGTGTTTAGAAAGGACACAGCTTCATTTAAAAAAAGGTGCAATTTATTTTATACAAATAGATGAAAAATGCAAATACAAAAGATACAAAAATGTCTGAAACGTCAATAATGGCTGAATAAAGGAAAATGTCAAGATGAGACTGAATGAGATTCTTCTGAAATCTGCCATGTGAGATCATGCTGTGATGTACTAAATGCTTTGATGTGTATGGTGTCATTACTTTAGCATAAGACAACAACTGCAGAAAAACACTAACACAGTATGACTAACACAGTGAACACAGTCTAATTGTTTAAGGTGGTGTGCGTGTGTCTAGCTTTCTTTAACAGATCAAACTATTTCTTAGTAGCATCTCGTGGGTGAGAAACAAATCAACTGTCAGATGTCAGTTTTGTAAAAACAGTGTCAAATGCAGCGGTCACTGGCCAGTGGCAGTGTGTAGAGAGCGCTGCCTACTGTGAGGGCAAAGTGACTGGCCATTCCTTTTCATTATTTATTTATTTATGTATTTATTTATTGATGTGCTTTTTTAAAATTGCTTCTGTGCACTATTACTGTTTTAATAGTAGTTTTTAACCAGTGCACTAGTCAAATTTATATCTGAAGACCCATTGTTTTCAGAGAAAAAAAAAAAAAATATTACACTGTAAAAAAGAAATACAAGAATATAATAATAACTGTATAATGTATACTTGGAAAAAATGTTTTACTATTGAAACTACATTCATTGGCCGGACTGCAGCGGGACATGAGGCACTATAATCACAAGGGCTGCAAGTATACTAATATATATTTTTTAAATTGTCGAAACCTAAACAGGATTTAATTAAATGAACAAATTATCATTACCAATACATTATTTCTTTGCATTTTTATGTACAACAAATAGTGCACAGTTGTCATCAAACAAATGGTGCATCAGTCGCTTAAAAACTAAATAAATCCTCGTTTTCTATCCATTTTCTACATCAAAACTTTGTGATCTTTTCTATAAAAAAAAAAAAGTTAAAAAAGTTAAAAGTTAAAGTTAAAACAGGTGCATTTTTTTTTACATTATTCCTATTTTTTTAACAAAAATTACTAATATTATTTTTTATAGCTGGTGCGCTTAATTCAGTATTACACAGAATAAACTCAATTTGATACACAAATATGAAAAGTTTACAATCAGTTTCTCTCCACGCATTAATGAACCATATAAAATCTATAAAAACACACAAGAACCACAAATTAAGTGAAAATATAAATATAACAATGTAAAATGTAACATAAAATGTAAATAAAACAAGCAAAAACAATAATAAAGAGAAAGCAAAGCAGGGGCCCGTTCTTCGTACGTCGCTATAACATCTGAGATGAAATGTCACATCCAAGATGATATCATCGCGCTAATCAGAATCTAGCTAATTCGGTTCTTCGAACGCACCTGTTGTTGATGATTAGTATGGCTGGATTGAGTTATCTGAGATAATTGCGCGTTCATGGGTTGGTTTAAAAGGGGCTATGTATCGATACTCGAAACCACGATCAGCAATGCAGCGATTGGCTGGCGGCAAGACAGCAACGTAATGAC